AAGTTCCGTTTTTTTTCTGAAATTTCCGGTTCATTTAACTATGCCATTGTCATATATCTAAGGTTGCAACACATTTAAGCAAAGTTGGCCTTTGGTGTTTTTGGCTGTTATGTGTAGGCCCTGTAGGTTAATGCTCTCAAACGGATTAGGCTCTCCAAACTTTTGGTATCATGTGTACCTAATAGAGATTTATACGTGTTTTGTGTACTGAAATCATATATATTTGTAATACGTGATTTTACAGAGAGATTTTGCGAATATCTTATGGTAAGCCTTATGGTAAGAATGCCTCTCACCTTTTCTGGTATTACTGGTATCCTTGGATAAGGAAACATTTGATTCATGAAGCTGTATTTCTAAGTTACCATTGAATCAAATAGGGATTTTATCTACGAAATAAATAACAAATAAATTATTAAAATAATATAATAAATAATTGCATATTTTCATTCGTACATGTTTGAAATAATACTTTTTACAGTCAGCAGAATATGCATATTGGCATTACATGATTCGGTCGATATAATGATCAGGAAAATAATGCCACTCTTATTACATGAATAACGTAAGCAACTTTTGAACAAAAAATCCATAAGTATATTTGATATGTCGACATATGTAGTCAAAATAACAAGGAAACACATTCAATATTGTTTTCCTCGCCATACCATGCATAGGAAACTACTGTTAACTGTGTTTCTTCTTGTTTTTGTACAAAGCCATGGCCATAAAATAAACAAAGGTAGGCAATGCATATAATTACCATGAAATCAATGAATTCATAAACATATAAACCGAGATGTCCAATGCAGTACTAAGTGCATTCTTTCGTACAGGTACAGGGTGAAGATAACTGGTACAATCAAACCTTTGTTGAATATTCAATAAATGTTACCCCACGTCAACCTGAAGTATAAACAGAATCAACACACGTTTAAAATGTTTACCAATTTGAATAAACTTGTAAGCTTCTGCAGAGTTGACATTGTAATGAAACATCACCTCGACAACATCTATTTTACCTGTTTTGGAATGAGTATAATATTTGAAATTATAAATAAGATATCTTCAATGTTTATTGTAGACAAATGTGTCAGGAAAGTAATAAACAAAGTTGCTAATCTTATCACAGAAACAACGAGTTAGTGCACTTCATGTCCATGTGAAGGTAAGGTGTTACAATTAAAAAATTCTCTAACACCATATATATTTGAACTGATAAAAAAAAACTTTAATTTATACTTTACGTTCTTTCAATTTTTTTAAAAATTACTTCGATTATGAGTATGTTGGACAAATTCATATCCGTCTAAAAAAAAAAAAAACAGAAAAAACAAAAAAAAACAAACAAAATAAAACTAGATGCACCTAGACCCTGAATCGCCCACATGGTATATTTGAGTACAGTTGATATGCAACAACAATATTTGTGTTGAAAAATTAGTCCTTTTGACAACATTTCGTCTGCTGATCTTGTTTGCCGTACAAAGTTTCACTCTATAAACTATAGATTTCAAGATGTAAGGTACAAACACTGAAATTGGTAAAAGGTCATCATTTAAGAAAATATAAGAAGTCGACAAAAGGTTTTTAACAGTCGACTCTTAAAGGAGAAAGTATGATAAGGCCATTTTTTTTAGACCCTTGAATTCAAAAATATAAAAAAAGAATTATTGATAAACAAAAAAACATCTTTCAGATGTCCATAAGCGTGTCAGAAAACAATATTTATGTTTTTGTATTTTGTCTTACACATTAACATTAGGGCTTCAAATGTTTTATATTTAGTGCAGAACAACTCAAACTGCCGCCAAATAAGCATCATTTTGAGATCTTGTCATCAACATTTAGATGTGAGCAACAGCTTTTCCTAAAGTGATTTTTTGCTACAAGCTGTATTTTACAAAGATGATAATGTGTGTAAAATATCTTTTAGGTTTCAGCTTTTGCTCACATACATTGTGGACCAAAAACTATGCGCGAAACAGCCATTTTAGCTCAAATACGTTAATTTCATCATGTATATGACATCATAGTGACATTACAGATGACCTTTCTGCGCTAAAGTGTCCACATTATATTAACCTATTCATTTATAAAGAACATCAGCATAATTTTCAAAGGCTTGAACAAGTTTTTCTATTTTTCCAATTTCATGGGCCAACGTTATACCTCCTCGTTTGTAAGCCTTATCGTGCGGAAATATTTGCTATTTACAGTTTCTTTCTATCTGCTATAATTGTTCTCACGAAATTTCAAAATAGAAAAAATCGTCGTAACATTGAAGGACATTACTCCTATAAGGGTAAGCTTGGTGATTTTAGAAATGCTGACCTATCTGTTCCTTTTTATTTTTGTCTTTATTTATTCTTTATTATTTGCTATTCTATTTTTCTTTCTATCATTTATATTTTTAAAGATTATGGCAAAAACGAAAATTGAAAAAACTAATATACTGAATTAAATATGTTCGTCCATACTCACTATAGGTCGTGCTCTGGAAAATATGGCCTGTGTTTATGTCGTGTTCTGCAGGTATTTTCTGAAAATTATTACAGGTATACCTTTGACAAGGTATCATCAATGGCTGTCCCAATAATTTAATTTGTTTTTAAATCATATATATCGTTTTGTGATTGTTGTCCTGGTCATACACCGGCTGTAATTTTTTTTCATTGTTAGACAATCCCTTTATTTCTGTCTGTCTGTCTGTCTGTCTGTCTGTCTGTCTGTCTGTCTGTCTGTCTGTCTTTCTTTATTAATTTATTACATTTTTTTATCACTTAGCTATTAGTTTTACTTACGTCTTTTCTTATTTAATATTCTGACCCATTGTGTTGCCTTCTATATGCTATCAATGTGGAAGAAAAAACAAATATACAGAATGTGCGTGTTTTTCGTTTTTTTTTAACTGTTTATAATTTCATTGGTGCTTTGATTATTATTGTGAAATGAGGAAACCGTCGTCTTCATATCTTCATCAATATTAAATGCTATCATGATTAAAGTAGTATATTTTTTCAATATTTCACACATTCGCCAATCGTCGAGCTTAACTGATACCTTTCCACCCTTTGATACGCCGATTTTTGTGCCTGTAAATGTTATTGTTTTGAATTACATAGGGTCGTCCGTCTTCTTGTGCGTGGCCTTGCAAACTTGACTAGTGTTTTTGTCGTGTACTAGGATTGCTCAAAAACTACCACGAAGGTGCCATTGACCGCCGTCAACAGTGGCTATGTAATATATATTTTTGTACGCCCTGTACTTGTTATGTTGGTCATAAACCGGTTGTAGAATGCTATTCGGTGTTTGGCTATCCTTGTATTGCTGTATTTCTTTTATGTTTTATTCACATCTAGTTTTAAATGAGATATATTGTTTTATAATTAATATTATTTTTATATGAAAGATTCTTGTAAACTTTGTAGCTTTCTATACTAGGCTTTTGTTTTGGTTCGAGATAGGGACAAATATATGTTTGCGTCTATCTTCGTTATTCAAAAAAATATCTAATGATTCATTGTTGCGTTTTTATTTTCCTGGGATAAGGATTAGATGTTGGAAACAATACAAATATTTTTCTTTTCTATTTAACAGGTGTGCTTTGTTTGTATGTATTATATCCTCAATAATATCATTTGATTCTTTTGATTTATGTCCTCTTTAAAGGCTTGAGTTATTTGTATCGTATCATATACATACTCGTGCCCTAGCAAAGTCGGCTATTGTTTTGTCGTGTTCTGGTATAATCTGGAAATTACCGAGAGTGCGCCATTTGTCTGACGTCAACAATGGTGACCTAATTTAAAAAAAAAAACATCTTTACGTTTGTTTAAAGCATTCTATGTTGTCTATACACCGGTTTAAGAATTTTCTTTCAGTGTTTGACAGTTTTTATATGTTTGTATTCTTGTACATCATTTTGCTTTCTATAGGCTTTTATTTTCTAAGATGAGGATTACATTTTGTTACTTTACAAATAGTTTCTTTAATATCGTATTATTTTCCTTTAAGAGATGTACTTTGTTTGCATTTATTGTCTGCCCAGTAATATCATTTAGTATGTTTGCTTTATATATCCTCTTTATGTGCGTTTTAATTGAAAGGCTTGAATAATTTTGATCATTTCTTTATCTAAACTTCTGTATTCTTTTGTGGTGTATACTTTACCTTTTAAAAAGCATTTTATCATTCTGTGGATTTGAATTTGCTTGTTCCAAGTACTGGAATGTTTCTGCAGTCTTGGTAAACGTTGTCATATCCGGACTATTGATTGAAATGAATTTGTCATCTTTATAAATAAATTTGTCTAAAAAGGCTCTGCGTTTCATTGAAACTTCGTACGTAAATTTGTTTATGTGCAAAGACTGTGTTTGCAATGCGAACACAAATCGTGTATTTCATTCATTTGCCCGTTGTATAGGTGAAAACCGTCGTCACAATGTCATTTACGGACAATAATTGCTTTATGGAGTCGATTGACGATACCGCTCATTTGACTACTAGTAGAAAAACTGTTTTTCAGAGTCTGTCTTTCTTTTGTTTTGTAAAGATGAAGCAAACAACTAACACAAATGGGAAAATAATCTATTTAGGGTTATTATAACTAATATAAGGAGTCGTCTTTCAATTTTGGTAACCATAGGCAGTTGGTAGAACTTGACATTAACTTTTGCCAGGTTTCTATCTTTTATGGTTTATAGCGATCCCTCGCATTCCATCCCTACTTTTGCAGCCATTAAGGTAGGCAGATGGAATGATCGATCACATTTTAAAAAATAGATACACCAAAGATTATTTTCATTGTCGTTAACGGCGGACACCAAGTCTTTCAACAGATCATACTGAACCTTTTCACATCATGATCTGATGAAATGAAATTACAATGTACTTAGCGTTTTGATATTAACATATAAGAAAGAAATATTTTAGAGAAAAAGCATTATTTATCATAATCTGCATTATATGATTTTTAATTTAGATTTGGGTCCCCGACTTTCTGATTGTGGTGATTTGAAGGAGTCAAGATACAAAAGTGGGGTCTATAAAAATTTATCCTGATAGATCTTCCGGCTTTTACGTCTTTTGTGATATGGAAAGTTACGGAGGAGGTTGGACGGTTTGTATGATATATATTTATCAATTATGGACTTTTGACGAGAGCAATAAGGTATATATGTACCTTTTCAGTTCATATTGACCGAGGACAAAAAGCGAGTGTTGATATAATCTAACAGGTCCATATATAACGTATTGACTGAGTGAAATTCCTTAATTTATATATAACATATGTTAGTAGTGTATCATTGAAATTGATTGTTATGTGGCGAAGAGTAATTTCGAACCCAGCATTTACTCCAAAATAACCATGATATTACTTTTATAGAATTTCATCTTGTGGATACTGTTTAGAATCAACAAACACATAAACAATTTGAAGATTGAAGTAAATCTTGAAAGCTTACATGAATAAAACGATTACAGACAGCATGGATCCTTTTATTCTAAATAGCAGTATGGGACAGGGGGAAATATATAGAAAAGCTATTGATATCATGAATATTGATGATAAAAGACAACGTGATTATAGGTTTTACGGTAACATGACAACATAAAAACGAACTGTAAAATTCATGTGGAAATGGCTACACTCATCTGAACGCTTGTTCTAAGCCAATAACAAGTGAGAGGAAGACAATTTGATATTCTAGGGGAAGGGAGGATTTTTCCGGATTGCTTATTTCTTTTATCTGATGCTACGCATGCTAAATTGTTTTCTTCGACGTGGCCGGGGGAAAATGTATTTTCACTTTTGTACACATTTGTTTCCTGCTTTTTTGTTTTGCAGAATATTCATTTTCATCCTTTTTTGTGCAATTATTTGTTTTCAGTTCTTACCCGGCCAAATAATTCATTTCCCCTCAAGGAAATCAAAAGTAAATGAACAAAAATACCGAACTACCAAGGAAAATTCAAAACGGAAATTCCCTTAACAAATGTCAAAATCAAAAGCTCAAACACATTAAACGAATGGAAAAGAACTGTCATATTCTTGACTTGGTACAGGAAAATGGTACAAATGGTCGTTCCATAATAAGAAAATCATGTTCTACCACACTGAATTATCACTCAGTACGTATCCAACGGATTTTAGTAAAGATGTCATAAACAGTTTGAGATAAGCATGACCTTGTTCAGTGACAAAATAATAATATCCATAAACCAAAATACAAACCACATCTTTAAATCTTCGAAAGAATTTAGGATAAGTTTTAAGAAATTTATGGTAACAAAATCCATGATTTGATAATTCACCAGTTACATAGATTATACAGTCATAGTTGGTTCATTAGCGTAAATGCGCATCAATGAGAAGAACACAATTATAATATGTAAATAATAAATCGTTGTACAGTGATATTAGACATGTAGCTTTTTTTAAATAAAGCTTGTCAACTTTTGAAAGTTTTTTTTTTCATTAATTGATTTAGCATAATCATTTGTGCTTTTATGAAGAGTAGAGAACAATAGAATAAAGATAAAAAAAAAAAGATTGATTTATTAAATTTTGCAAAGAATTGAATTTACAGAGAATTCAATTGTGTTTTACAAAAATGGATTGTTTATTCGTTGAAGCCCCATCATACACAGCCCTTGTTAGTTTTCTATACTGCAAAAAGTGAAAAATGACATAAGATATGTATCTTGAAAGGTAAATCACATATGTGAAAATGTCTTAGTTTCAAAACGACCTGTCATACATGAAATTAATTGCGCAAATTCATCCACAGGCTCTTTAATATTACTCTTGTTGTAACAAAATAGCGTCACTGTAGTCGGCGTTTAATAGGAGTAAAAGGATATGTCACCGATACAGCATCCCAAATACTTAAATAGCAACAATTTTAGACTACAAATTCGAACTCTTAATAGTTATAACATATTCTACTGCAAAAACAACGCACAAAAGATATAAAAATTGTCACATGGCCGATAGAAGATATGTAGCGTAATAAATTTTCATTCAATTCTGAAATATTATCGGTGGACTATATTGAGTATTATTGAGAAGTGTTAAGCTTATACTTCCACAGGTATTTCAACGAAGAACAAATGGTTATGTTGGATTCTACAGAGACTGGGAGGCGTATAAAGAAGGCTTTGGAAATGTAAAAGGAGATTTCTGGTTGGGTAAGGATATATCTGTCTTCTTCTCGCTTGCATTGACATAGAAAAATTATATCAATATGTAATTATTTATTCATTTAAACAATGCTTAAATAATATTGAGTGGTTATTGACACATTTAGCACCTTAAGGTTTCTTAAAATACAATAAAAATAGGATGTTATTATACATAGTGACTATATCATTCATGGTTATTTAAGATGGATGAAATATTACCAATTAAGGAAGTAAATAAATAGTCTCAGTTACACTGGCAGATATCAAAAACATTTAGTCATAGCAACATTTTTCGAACAGGCAATGAGTATTTGAGCAAACTTACTCAACAGGGATATTACAAACTGTGGATAGATATGTGGGACTTTAGTTATAACCGCCGATATGCCATCTATAATACATTTGTTGTTAAAAACGAACAGTCAGGATACAAGCTAGAGGTAGCTAAATACACTGGAAATGCAGGTAATATAATTCATAATTATAAGAATTGAATAATAAAACACTAGAAAGATTAGAAAACAAATCAGAAGAAGCCGATATTTTGGCAAGACCAGTGATACTGTAAAATATTTCAACAAGACATTATACTTATAAGTGTTACCTGGCCAATGTTTAAATGACTTGTCAAGAATCCTGTAGGTGGTTGTCCTTTTTGGTTGTCTGTTGAAGGCCGTAGGTGAAGTCACTACCGGTTTTTAGTGAGATCATGTGCCCTGTCTATATGTTCTGAAGTTACTTTATTTCTTTTGACGATACAAATGAAGTGTCGACAGTTAAGTCATCAATCTAGAATTTAAGACCCCATATATCTTTTTGCCATTGTATATAAAAAGAAGGAAATGTTATATGATTGTCAATGCGACAAATAATTATCATAGAATAAAAAACTAGGACGTACACGTAATTCACTCGTAAAGGCATAGGTCAAAGCATGATCTTCAATGCTGAGCAAAAATCAAGCCATAAAAAGACTCTTTAATAGTAAAACTTGATTAAAATCCATTATATTCCTTTTAAAGGAAAACTACAAAAACTGTCGAATTGCCTTGTAAGGATATCTTTGAACAATAATATTTGAAAATAAACAAGGTACATGTATTTAATGCACAAATAGCTTTAATGTTTAAAGTTTATTTTATGTTTTATCTGACCAAACAATTTGTTATAAAGTACCATTTCTTTTAAAAAATGAAAAAAAGCACGTTATAAATTTCATGCGTCCGAAGCCGTCATTTAAAACCGCCATTTTCCTTAGCATCACAGTATATATTTTTTTTAACTTTGAAGTCTTTGTATTTCTATCTTCGGATTCATACAATTAACCATCTTTTCTTTGAAGTGATTGTATTCTTATTATCGGATTCATACAATTAACCATTTTGAACAGAAACTGTACAAAAGAAATATATTTGATAACCCCTGTGGCAAAATCGCCTTCCTGATTTATTCATTTAATTTTATTGCCAGATGTGGAGTAGAATCTGTTTAACCCTTCCGGAGCACCTGAGATCACCCTCGGGTTTTGGTGGGGTTCGTGTTGCTCAGCCTTTAGTTTTCTATGTTGTATTTTGTATACTGTTGTTTATCTTTTTGGTCTTTTTCTTTTTTTTGCCATGGCGTTGTCAGTTTCTTTTCCTCTGATGAATTTGAATGTCCTTTTAAGTAAATTTCGCCTCCCTTTTAATTACATTTGACCAACATTTCAGTTACATTGTTTGTTAAATTATTAAGTCTTTCTACCTTTCTATTGAAAGACCGATAAGGTTTGTTCTTACTATTAGGTTTTTTTCACTTTTCCGTGAAAAGACCGATAGGATTTGTTCTGACTATAAGGTCTTTCCCCTTTTCGTTGAAAGACCGATAGGGTTTGTTCTGATTATTAGGTCTTTCCACCTTTTCGTGGAAAGACCTATAGGGTTTGTTCTAATTATTAGGATTTGTTCTGATTATAAGGTCTTTCCTCTTTTCGTGGAAAGACCGATAGGGTTTGTTCTGATTATTAGGTCTTTCCACCTTTTTGTGGAAATACCTAAAGGGTTCGTTCTGAATACTGTTATCATAACATTTCCCAATTTTTCAGTGGTAAGACCTATAGGCTTTGTTTTGATTATACTTATTTTTCTTCCACCACTTTAATACCTTGCGAAGTATTTTGGCTCTGCGAGATGTTGGTTAGATATTTGGTATATGATATCGAACAGTTATTTCATTTTTAAAACCCATCATGTTAAACAGAACAATTTTACTGTAAGACTTATCTCAAAAGACACTGTTTATCTTATTATCACTGCAACATCCAACCGTAAAAGATATAGACAAAATCATTTTTACAAATTGCTCGTTACATCTTCAGGATGTCGAAAACAAGTTTGGCGGAAGTCATCCATAGATTCCACATGAAAGTGATTTCCCCTTATGTATTCCACATAAAAGAAAGTAAATTATAACTCTGCCCCGTGAATGAAAGAGGCTAAGTTTTTATTAATATGAAGTCCTTTGTCCATTAAAATGAAAATAAGGTCAAGATCATGTTCTAATATTTTACTTTTGCATGTTATTGCTACTCCTCAGAAACCATAATAAATTTTGACATAAGATTCAGTCTGGAAAAAAATGCAATTTATGTAAAATATTTGATAAAGTTAAGTATGTGTCTCCTTGTTATTGTCTCCTATGCAACGCGTTGCGGAGGACATATAAATACCGGGCGTCCGTCCTTCCGTCTGTTCGTTCGTCTGGCCGTCGGTGCGTCCGTCCGGTCTTGTTAGCGCCATCACATGTACAATTCTTGCCAGATTTTTATGAAACTTACATCAATAGTTTATATCAGCAATGCCCTAAACAAGTTTGAAAATCAGTGCCGATCAATTATTTTATAAACATTACGCCCCTTGGAAACATTATTTGTATGGAAAATTGCATCGTTAGCGCTCTCATTTGTACAATTCTTGCCTGATTTTTATGAATATTATATCATTGGTTTATATCAACAATGTCTTGGACGAGTTCGAAAATCAATGCCAATCAATTATTTTTAAAAGAGTTATGCCCGTTGGAAACATTAATTATATGAAAAATTGCATTGTTAGCGCTCTCATGTGTACAATATTTGCCAGTATTTTATGAAACTTAGATCATAAATTTTATATTAGCAATGTCTTTTACACTTTCGAAAATAAGTGCTGGTCAAATATTTTTAATGAGTTATTTTAATTATTGCCCTTGTACCTTGGATAGATAAAATATGCACAACACGGGGAACATTATTAATATATAATTTCATGAAACATTAACATCCAGTTTTATTTACTACAGTTTGAAAAAGAAGCATTTTATTCTCAAACCTGTTGGCAAGATAAGATTATATATTTTTTTTGTAAGATATCTATTTTTTACAGGGGATTCATTAAGCAAACATAATGGAAATAAATTTTCTACATGGGACAGAGATAATGATACGTATAGCAAGAACTGTGCCGAGTTGTTTAAAGGAGGATGGTGGTATACAAATTGTCATCGCTCCAATCTGAACGGGAGATATCTCATGGGAACACATAGTAGCTATGCTGATGGTGTCAATTGGTATGACTGGAAAGGATACAACTACTCATTGAAAAAAACACGCATGATGATACGGCGAGTCTAGCAAATTGTAACAATAAATATACAAATAGTTATTCTGTTTTTTTTCACTTCCATGTATATTTATTTCATGTAATCGACACACATGGATTCGTGTGTTCTTTCTGGTTGTAGACACTTGTTTCTATGTGCTTTAATATTCATCAAGGTTGACCTTTTATCGGCTTATTCACTGAGCAATATGATGGCTGTAGTTTTCAAAGCAGGATATGTGTATCGTATTGGAATGTCAGTACCGGTTTTGGCTAGACATACAATAGCTTTAAATGCATGTAAAATAAATTTTCTTTTCGTAAGGAATTATTCTATCTTTTCTGATTTGTATTCCATATAGATCAGATGTCTGATTTACCTACTTAAAGAACGGCTTGTTATACCATACTAGCTACCCTATAAAGCATATTCAAGGTTTATAAATTATATGCAGTCTTGTTAACTACGTATTAAACGGCTGATACACCAAACACTGCAATAGAAAAGAACAAAAATTAAATCTTTAAATTCTGTAATCATAGTTATTAATCAGTTGGGGGTTATTAGATGCATTCCCTTTTGGAAACTTTTTTTGGCAACCGAGTGTTGAATTTGTTGCCTTACTTTCTTTTTACATCGTTGAAACCATTGTTTACAATGCATGTTCAACTTAAAATTAGCAAGTAACACAAGCAGCGGAGAATGTACATATACTATGACTTTATACTCATATGTGCCTGTCTTAAGTCAGGAACCGCATCAATGGTAGTCGTACGTCATATCTTAAAGAATGTTATTTTTTTGGCGTAGAGACGATTTAATCTTCCCTTGAATTATGTACAGACACTTGCCTATTGTTGACATTGGCATATTGCCCTTTAGGTGTCTTTTAAATATGGTTGCAGTTAGATTGCTGTATTATTGACGCATATCCTATATCTCGTTTTATTTATACTTACATCTATTTGCATAGCTATGCCTCGAAACATAATGGATCGGTGAAAGTTGTATGATGATAAAAACAATAATAAATTATATATCAATAGCGTTATTTAACTATTTACAATTAAATAGGTCAATTCCAAGAAAAAGATGACGGTTTGTGGTTATGTCAATCAGAACATATCCGTCGTCATTTGTTTAACAGATATTCCCTAACAGTCAAGCAACTCGTACAAGCATTTCATTATGATGAAGGTTTGATAAATTTGCCATTCACGTTGGGAAAGAGTAATTCCTGATTTATTTTGGAATTTCCATCTCGGAACACACAATTTATTTACTTCCTGAGGAAGAATGAAAAAAAAAACCATAATCCTTTAATTTCAAATTCCGCTAGATAAATGATATCCTCCCACTGAATGATTTAAAGTTTGGTATCTATGTTGAACGCATCTATCCCATCGAACTTAAAATTAAGGATGTCACATATAACTTTATGGCTGCCTCATATTATAACTTATTGTGAACTTTCCATTTCTATGTAGCAACATTCAAGCAGAGTATGAATATGGAGAATATATCTCCCAGTTGATACGATATCCTATTTCTTATCAGTAACATATCCTCTGACCAATCGTATGGCGTTTTAATATTCAAGTTAGTAAGTTACACTCGTGCATCTTCACACTGTACAGATTTCATAAACAGGGGTGTCCTACTTACAAAAAAAACCCTGCTCAAACAGAGTTATAAGGAAGAACTAATGAGATCGACAAAGCATAACATTTACGGTCACCATCACGATTTGTTGACCGGTACGACGCATCGGTGTCTCAATCCACTGACGATATGTTTTATCGATCTCAGATCGTTAGATACAAGTAACGTCGTCTGATCTGTAATTTTACCGATAGTGTCCTATTCCAGAATGTGACATATTTACTGAATGTGAACTCGCATTGCGGTAGATGCATGATGAATAGCAGGAGGCCATTACCTTGTCGATGCACCCAGTCTCGCTCCTTTTGGTGTTCATACGATTACTCCAGTTTCTGTTTGTTACATTGATTTGTCTCTTCCTAATCGATTCAAGAGATTTGAACATCAATCTATCGTCGCGTCAATTCATATATCATATATCAACGTCAACACCAGTATAAGAAGGTACTATCGTGTGCTATGATGTTAAAAGTATGTGATAAGGTCAGTTTGAGGTGAACCACAAATGGCGATTGATACTTGATATATTACTATTACAATAGATATAAGAAGATGTGGTATGAGCGCTAATGAGACAATTCTCCATCTAAGTCACAATTTGTAAAAGTAAACCATGATAGGTTAAAGAGTTTCAAAGCATGTATAAATGTTATTCCAAGGAGATCATGTCGGACTCACCCAATGGGGCATGGTTTATTGTCTTTGAAGCGTTTGCGTAATTTACATGTTAAAGTTTGTGATACGGTAAATTATTTACTTATATATCAGATTTATGATGCTGGATTGGTTATATTTTTGATCAGGAGTGTTATAAAAAAAAAATAAAAAGTTAGCTCCATAGAAGTCGATAAAACATTAACAAAAATCAAATGTCAGACTTTATCAATCAACGGAACGAATGAAGAACAGCTGTCATATACCTGACTTGATACAAACATTTTCCGAAAACAATAGTGGATAAGACCTTGTTTTATAGCTAGCTTAACCTCCCACTTGTATGAAAATTGTTTATATTTCCGTTATATTGATAATATTTGGTGAGTAACCCAAACAGACATAATTGGTTAATGTGACAAAAATTGGGATCCAGCAGCCAAAATAATTGATACACAAATACTGTGCCTAGAATCTTTTACTCAAGACAATCTTGTGTTATTTGTATTATTTGTGAAGTGTACACTAATTATTTATATATTAGATCTTGGTACTTTCCGTTGTAAAAATATACCTTCTCATCTTCAAATTATATAATTAAGTTATCTTTTGATTTTGAGTGTTCTTACTTTTCCTTTGTAGTACTTTATTCGAGATGTCCGCCATGTACAGATAGTCAGTCAATTTGAAACGTGCACAGTGGATCATTTTAATTTCAACATTTGCATTTAACTATCGAAATTTCATATAGGCAAAAAAAAAAAAACTTTTCAGAGACACACTAGGCAATGCATTATTTCTGTATTTCTGCAAAGATGTTTGCTTGATAACATATTTTATTCAAACAATATCCTTATTTGATCGCAAGGAAAACCAAACATTTACTATTTTTATTTTCTGATTCTTAATAAAATTAAAATAGAACAGTGTTAAATAAACTTATGTTTTTTATTCAAGCGTCACTGATGACTCTTAAGTAGATGAAACAAAATGATAGCCTTTGATATGAGTTTTTAATAACTTTCTATCGTGAATTATATCGGTGTTAGTTGCTGTCTCTATATGTTTCTTTTTTCGTCAATTACAGGATTTTTGTTGGTTCCATACCGGCTCCGCTATCGACTTTCTCAAAATGTATAGCATGTCATATGGTTTTGGTATCTTGCTCATTGTCAAAAGCCAAATTCAAATATTTATGTTTGCCTGTGGTATATGACTAAAAGATAACGTGAGGTTTACATATTAAAAAAAAAAAGAAACGTGGTATGATTGTCAATAAGACAAACACTACTGTAACAACAGCCCATAAAAAGGCCGTGAATGTCTGTGAAATATCACAGGGCCGTGAAAACCCCGTGAAAATACCCCGTGACTTTTGTAAAAAAAATATTTCTAAAGGCCGTGAAAAATATATGATGTTAGAAAAAGACCGTGAATTTTCAATATCCCGTGAAAAGGCCGTGATAATTTGTCCTTTCATGCTTAATAAAAAATATCACGGCCTTTTCACTGGTTGTTGAAACCAGTGAAAAGGCCGTGATATTTTTTCATGTCAATTTTTTCTTATCCTAATTCAGATTTAAAACATCCCATGTGATTATTGTAATATGGTCTAATTATTTCCACTCACATTTTTTCTAAATATCCTATAAACTTTTCATTATAAATATATGTCTGTTTAAATATTATTATATGCAATACTACTGTACAGGACTGACTTTTAAATGGAACCATTCATTGTTATAATTAATGACTTTGTGCCAATAAATATTTTGTATTTAAAGAAAAGTATTTTGCTTCTCGTCTGTACATTATTATAAACAATGTAAACATTAATTTTAATTGGAACCGAAACATGTAAAAACGAGAACTTCCCAGAATATCAGACCGTATCCGGATTCGTGTTTCTTTTAGAGTAATTGTAACATTTCCGCAAGGTTTGAAAATTTGAAAGACGCCGAAGGTCGATTAATATTTACTTTATAGATGCAAGACGAGTGACAGCAAGTTTGAGGTAAGTTAAGTTATTCAAATTTTATTCTTTTATGCATCATATCACCAAAATGTTGATGACGTTTGTGAACATTTTCATTGAACTGATTTTCACTGAATTTGCAGAAACCGCGCAAACATGCATGTGATATATTCACTTATATTTGAGTCTGTTGCACTTGATTCCTTTAATCATTTCGGTTAATGTTTTCTAAGACTTACCGGATCCTTTAAATACGATTACGGTTTTGTTTTGTTTATGTATTTGGGGAAAAAAGGGGGGGTCCTTTTTCCTCACACTGGCCACATAAACAAAAATGACATTTATGTACAGTACACTACGTAGACATAGACATAGATAATTGGAAATGATTATAATAGCAATAAGTATCTCTGAAATGGAGTTCACTCTAATAATCAGATGCGTAACCCCCTTTGAATGTGTCGGGAGCTATTTAAGTATTTTCTGACTTGGCCGTCGGGACACAGAGTTCAAAAGGGATTAATCAGAGGCGTAGCAGGGAAAGAATTTAATATTTGTACGGCAAAATGTCCTTTCTAGAAGGGTTTGTGCCATATCATAAGAATAATTGGTATGGCAATGAGGTGTTTCAAAAATAATTGGTATGGCGAATGTGCCTGCAGTAAAAGTTGCTACGCCCCTGGCCCCCTGTAAAATAAATAGCTGTGACTCATTACGGCCACTTAGTCTAGACAAGTTTGGCTTTAGCCATACATATTATTACTCCAAAGAAACATTTAAATTTAATAGTCTGTCTTAAAAGTATCTTCAGTCTTTAAAAAAATCTAAAAAAAATAATATAAGTTGACAATACAGAACTTCGTTAACTAATGATGCCATATTGGATAGGGGCAGATTTTCTGGAAAATGGTATGAAAATATGGGAAAACATTTGCATGTTTCCAAGTGGCTGTTCTGTTTCAATGATGTTTTATAGTATTTTTCATACCATTTTCACCTTCAGTATGAAAATCTGCCCCCTATTCAATATGGGGTCATTAACCGTGAAGTCCTGTATTGCATGAAATAATTTTGTAGCTGTTTTAAGTACATGTATGTACATAAATGCCAAAAATTAATTTGAATATATAAATAGTTTTTTTATATACATGTATAAGACATGTAATGTTTCTTTATTTATTTTAGGAATGAAGAGCAAAAGGATATAGCAGTCTTTATATAAAATAGTTCAGGAATCCAGTTGGAAAGAAGAGCTTTTCAGTTAAAAGTATTTCCTGGGAATTAACAGGAACTTCTATAAATGTTTTTCTGGAATAGTTATTCAAAAGGGCAGTGAAGTGAAGGATTACATTAGACAAATATTGCTCTAGTGGTAAAATCAGACCCAAGAGATGTACAAAATTTCTACAATACATGCATGTTACAGCTGACTTTAGCTACTTAATCACATTGACATGTGTGTGCTTTTATGTTTTCTTTACATAATTACTACAGTTCTATTAAAATTAATATTTGTATTCTTTGTCACAATTATTACTAAAAAAATACAGCATTTTAATATGGTTTTTCATAGTCTCACTTGCATTGTACTTAAATAAGTTGTCTGTAGATGTTTACACTAGGTTTTCAGGCATTTCACTTCACTTGATTGAAACAGCATTTAAATTTTTTGTTAAATTATGGCCTGAAAATCACATTTAACATTATACAGAAGTTTTCACAATCAGTGAATGGCTGTTTATCACAGTAGTACATGTACATTTCACGGTCTTTTCACAATGAGCACATAATTTATCACGACTTTTTCACGGTGTACATTTTTGTTTTTCACAGGGTTTCTACGGTCTCTTTACCAAAGTTTTCAGTTGGCACCTTTTCACGGCCTTTTCACGACAAATAAAGGCATATACTGTACTATATCTACATTTCACGGTCTTTTCACAATGGGCACATAATGCATTATTACGACTTTTTCACGGTGTACATTTTTTTTCACAGGGTTTCTACGGTCTTTTCACCCAAGTTTTCAGGTTGCACCTCTTCACGGCCTTTTCACAGCCTTTTCACGACAGTCATTCCACGGCATTGTCACGGATAAGTGTTACTGCCCACCGTAAATTAACCGTGACAAACACTGTAAAAATCACCAGCATTTTTACGAACATTTTCACGGCCAATCTACGGGGCATTGTTCCAGTAGTGAACTATCCACCAGACACCAAATAACGAAAATTTGAATAACTTCTTTGTTTTTTTTAACGTTTTCATATACATGTCTTGTATACACTTATCGTTATTTTAATGATATTTTTTCGTTAAATAATCAAGAATTTTCTAAATATACTGCCGAAGTTTATCCAAAGGAACTTCCTGTAAATCACTCAAATATAAACGGTAATAACTGTCCTTTCTTGAATTTATATATTTCATTTTCACATGGGAAACTCTACAAAAAAAAAATTACGACAACAGGGAAGTTTTTTCTTTCTCTGTTGTTAACTTTCCTTTTTTTGGATGGTGATGTTCATTTGGCACCATCTTACGGCGTTTATATATCACAACTGGTTCGTTATGCCCGTGTCTGTAGTGACGTTTTTGATTTCGATGAACGTAATCTATGTATTTCTTGTATTAAGTCAGGGATTTCGTTACCTCAAATTACTTAACACCTTTACTAAATTCTTCCAATACAAAAAAAAATTGGTTTGGAAGTTTTGCTGTATCTCATTTCAAACGGGATAGCACATCCTAATGTTTACCGAGCCTGGAAATTTAGATACGATCCGGATAAACTTATCGATCCTTCAAATAAACTTTTTTTCTAAACTGTTATCAATTCAACACCGTAATTAGATCCTTGAATATTGTTTTTATTTGTATAAATGTTGATTTTGTTATCGGTAAATTTTAAAATCAAACGAAATTATTGTTATGCACATGCAAGGTTCTACAATATGTAAGTACCAGTAATTTTGCATTGCATGTCATGTCTTTCTCTGACTGTTATTTGCGTCTTTACGCTAAATCCATTGGATGTTGGATGTGAACTGATTTATATTTTAGTCTTAGATAAATGATTTTTTTTATAAGTTGTTGTTGGCTTTGAACTAGCTGTCACTTACTGTGAGTACTCTCAGATCTGTGCATAGTGTCTTTTTGTTGTGGGATGTATAAATACCATGCCACGTCCGGTCTGTGTTTTTGTTACTTGTTTTTCTGCTTTGTATTGATCTGATGAGTTAAGTCCTTTTCAACTGATTTTTGTAGTTTGTTCATATGATGTGATGATACACCATTGCTAAAGGTAAGGGGGAAACATGTTTAACCCCGCCACATTATCTATGTGCCTGTCCCAAGTCAGGAGCCTGCATTTAAGTGGTTGTGGCTTGTTGCTGTATATCATATTTCATCTGCGTTCATTGTTTTGTGCATAATACTCAGGCCGTTATTTTTCTCATTTGAATTGTTTTACATTTGTCATTTCGGGGCTTTTTATAGCTGACTATGCGGTATGAATTTTGCTATTTGTTTAAGGCCGTACGGTGACCTAAAGTTGCTAAGTGTTGGAGTGTGAAGAGTTGGCTTATTGGCAATTATGCCACATCTTTTTTTTTTATATCTGTTAGCATTTGTCCGTTAACCTGTCTGGTTCCATTTGCTTTATATCTTTCGAGCATCGTCCTCTTTGGTTTTTAAAACTGTTTTGCAATTATTGGATTTTTTTTAAAGAGACACAAATTGTACAATTTTAGTCACATCTTATTTGTCATAAATGACACAATTTTAATAATACATAAATAGGAAAACAGAAATTACCAAATATATTGGTTATTACACAAGACCACACCAGACTGGAGGCTTTAATATAATAACAATAGAAATTAAACTAATTCTGTATACAGTCAATGACATTTGGTACGTATTAGCACTTTTAAGAATGTAGAACCTGTTTTGGGAATGACAGAATTTAGTCGATTAAATGATCAGGAAAATAATGCCTCTCATATTACATATAACACGCAACAACATTTATAAAAGTCTATACGTATATTTATATGGCATTATATGTAGTCAAAATACTAGTAGTAAGGAAACATATTTATTTGTTTTGTTTTTAAGTCAAAATCGGAATACAATGCATATGGAATTGTTGTTAACCGGCTTTCTTCTCGTTTTTGTACAAAGCTATGGCAAGGAAATAAACAAAGGTAGGAAAATGCACAATATAATGTTTGATTTGATGAACAAATTGATTTGAAATCAATGAACACATTGACCGCGAAAACAAAATTTAGATCAAGTACCAAGTTATAATAATTCCATATAGGTATATAATTTAGCAATAAATCATCACGCGTTTTTAAAAGACCACGTTTAAAACATTTTCTTCTTTGACAATTTGAATAAAAAATTCGGCTACGAGAACATTTTGTTGCAATTTTACGACGATATTGTTTGAACTTTTCGAGTTCACATCTAGCATATTTGTTTTCAATAGTTTTAATGATTGAAATTATAATAAGATGTCTTCAAATATTCCCAATTTCCATTCTCAATTTCATTGTAGAGAAATGTGTCAGGGATGTAGCAGACAAAGTGGCTAATCTTATCACAGAAACTACGAGTCAGTGCATTGTGTCCCCTTCCAAAGGTAATGTGCTACATTAAAAAAAAATTGTTATTTGAGATTATTCTTTCAAACTTTAACAAACAAAAAATTGTACATGGAACTATAAGTATTATCATAAAAGGATAGATCAAAGTATGTAGATACAAAAAATGTTTTCCGTCTATCAAAAATATTTAATTTTAAATGGACAGTTTTGGCAGCCTGTTAACACGAAATTACTTATCATTTGCAAATGAAATAAACACATTATACATTTAGTACGTCTGAATCACTTTTCTGGATTTACCTTCATCAGGAACGTTTAAACCGAATATTTGTTAGCCAGGGATGCGTAACTACGCAGAAACATTAGAAGCTATATGACCAAAAAGGACCTTAACATAATAGCTAAATTCATCTAAGATCAACATTGCCAGAGGGAATCGGTACCTTAGTTTGTTAAATAGCAAATTGATAGAATAGGACATATTCGAGAGTAATATCATCATTATTTTTTATATAGGTTTAGGCGCCCGACCTTCGGACTGTGGTGCCATGAAAAAGTCAGAAAGCAAAAGTGGGGTCTATACAATTTACCCGGATGGAACTTCCGGTTTCCGTGTCTTTTGTGATATGAAGAGTTTCGGAGGTGGTTGGACGGTTTGTATGATATATACTGAAAGTTGTGCTGTTTTAGAAAAGTGATTTAAAAATTGAAAAAAGTTTGATTAGTTTATGTAATAAATTCAGATAAACCTATAAACTATAGTTTAATGTTTGTTATTAAAAAAGGAAAACGTAAAATAAAGAGTCCACAAGTACAAATGTACGATATCGTAATCCCTTTTGATATGCAACAACAATGCCACAGAACCGTGCTTATATGAAGAAAGGGAGAAACGTCAAGAAGGCAGCAACCCAATCAACAATAGACTGCTTAATATCCTGTCACAAAACCCTACTTATTCAAAGAAAAACACAACACATTATATGAACAAAGACATTCAATGACGAGGATGATTAAGGACAAGTTTTTTGGGTGTTTTTAGAACCCAGCCCTCCTCCTTTTTACATTTCGATAAATTGAATAATACATTATACAAAGAAAAATGAAAATGAAAACTACCATGTATTTAAAGAAAAACATTTTATTTCATGATATTTCGGTATGATAAACGAAACGCTATTCGTGCATTTAATACGTTAATTCGTAAAAGGAGTGCTATATAATTAACATATAATAATATCAGCACAAACGAACTACGGGTATGATATGCTGTTTTGAGATATAATACTAATAACATAATGTATTGAAGAACAAACAACAGGTATAGAAAGTATACCCTGATTAATAAAGATACATGTAACGAAGTCAAATTTCATTCATCTCTGAAATGATATCTTAATGGCATTTTCTTCCACAGTTATTCCAACGAAGAACCAATGGTTTTGTTGGCTTTTACAGAGACTGGGAGTCGTATAAAAATGGCTTTGGGAATTTAAAAGAAGATTTCTGGTTGGGTAAGGTTGATTAATATATTATTGTTCTGCCTAATTGTTTTTAAATACAATTAAATACAAATCTAAAATCTCATCAAAGTTTTTATCTAACCAAAAATGTCCAAAAAAGTTGCTCCGAATATTGCTCATGTCAACAATGCTTTTAGGGTAAAAATCTTAATGCTTCGAAAGGTTTTAATATTCTTTGCTTCTTACGACTTTAACAGCACAGTATAGTTTCTTATGATATGAGTAAAAAGGAGATGTAGCTGGTTATTTCATATTCTTGCAATGTTGTTCATTTGGTGAAGTACATGTATGTGTTCATCAATATTTTAATTGAAATATATCAACACTTTTTGTTATTGTAAATTGGGCAACTATTACTATATATAGGGAATGAATATTTGAACAAACTGACAGAACAGGGATATTACATATTGCGGATAGATATGTGGGACTTTGAAAATAACCACCGATATGCCATCTACAACAATTTTGTTGTTAAGAACGAAAAGTCAGGGTACAAGCTGGAGGTAACTGGTTACACTGGAACTGCAGGTAATATAATTCATGATAATTGAATAGAATAATATAACAATTACAATATTATAGATACCATAAATCTAATTATTATTAATTTATATATAATACTCTACGTCATATAGGTGATGTTTTCTCACTAAATAATTCAAAATTTGGTGACTATGTTGAACGCAGCTATTCCATCGAACTTGAAATAAAAGATACAACAAATACAGTTAAGTCTGCCACATATCTTGACTTACATCTAGAAATTGATAAAGCAGGTCGGTTGAACGGTTGAAAACAAAAGTTTACGACAAAAAAAGGTGATTACAGTTTCCATATTATGAAGTTTCCATTTCTATGTAGCAACATTCTTGCAGCGCGTGCATACGAAGTATATATCTCCCGGTTGATATGATATTCCTGGGCTTGTATTTCCTATGATGATTTCCTTGATAAAGAGGGTGGCTGCTCACAAGGAAGTTGTGAGATTGAAATATCCCTTCGTAAATTTTACGGACGCCATCACGAGTTGGTTTTTTAGCCATGGTGTTGTCAGTTTATTTTCGACTTATGAGTTTGAATGTCCCTTTGGTATCTTTTGCATCTCTTTTGCCACTCTAATGTTTCGAATACTATAAGTATTTTTCCAAATATTTGTTTTGACGACAGTGCTGACAGTCCGTTTTCGATTATCGTTGCGTAATTAGGTTTATTATTGTCTTTGAATGTATATATATATTTTTTTGTCTAGATTGTATAGATTTTGTCAAATTGATTTTTATCCGACATCAACTTTTATTCTTATAAAAGAGTTTTATTTCAACGTCTTGATAACAATAAATCAAGACTAATTAGAAGACTATTGTTTTAACCAGTTTGTATCCCAAAGACTAAAATCGGATTATACAATTGCAATACTGTTTTGGTGTCATTGAAAAATAGGTATGATAATTACAATATAGGTAATAGTAAGATGCTTACCTACTTTCCATATACTCTAACGGTTATTGTTTAATAATAAATTGTATCTTTTCGTCAACATTAATGTAAATCTTTACCTTTAATTGTAAGATTCCCGCCATTCAAATGTAAACTTAGACGAAATGGAAGATAAGGAATAGGACACAATTTGTAAATTTTCACTTTAGACTTTTCTGGTATCTTAAGATTTAAGACTTCGAAACCCTGTTTCTCATGAGTTGAGACAGAGCCACATGGATGGTTATCAAAATTATGATGGTAACTCCGAAACCTGTGTAGAATAGTTTTTTCAGAACCCTGCTGAAGAAGTTTTGCGTAAGGAGCACTACCATGTAAATGAAGTCCGTATAATGTATGCATGAACGTAGCATATCAACTGCGATATGTTAAGGCCACAGTGGTAGCTTCAAACAAGTAAGCTAAGGAAATGATCATTTAATCCGACGAGGGGGGATGTTATGGTTTTTTCTTAAAACGTAGTCACAACTTTGATCATGGAGAGGGAAAACAGCATGTTTGAGTATTTCCCATTAAATTAAATGTTAAGTTCTAAGAAAAAAAATTGGTGTGACAAAAAATAAATAATTTGATGATTGCGTAGTACGAAAATGATAAAACGAGAATGATAAAAGAAAACAATTAACCCCACCCTCCTCAAGTTTAAATGATCTTTACATGTTAAAACACTATTTTCTCAAATGGTACAATTCGCTCTGCACTCACATGTTTTTTTTTAAATTTTATTGACCAAATTACGTTATTGCCTTCAAGCCTCATCTTTGTTTTTTAATTTCTTTGGTATTACCATTTAAACAACATTTCTATGTTTACATATTGTAATCTTTAATATGATTATAATAACAATAGTAGATAAATAGTAAATCCTTATTTTTCAGACACTAACTGACTAGTTAAGACTAAAAAAATGTATTTCATACAGGTAATTCATTCGGCGGTCATAATGGATATAGGTTTTCTACAAGGGATAGAGATAATGATGTTTACCCTTATAACTGTGCTGAGATGTATAAAGGAGGATGGTGGTATAATAACTGTCATAAATCCAATCTTAACGGGATGTACCTAAAGGGAAAACACAGTACTCATGCTATTGGTGTCAACTGGAATCATTGGAAGGGATACTACTACTCATTGAAGGCAACACGTATGATGATACGGCGAGCCTAGCAATAAATAAGGAATAAAAATTGATACCTTGATTTCAGTTATTCACTAAAATGATGGATTACTTTATTTTCTAAAAAAAATGAAAGCTTCACACAGGGGTTATCTTGTTCTTTCTTTACACATACATGCTTTTGAAAGTTCTTCAAGTTCATTCGAGCTTGACCTTTAAAAAATAATATGAATGCTGCAGTAATGTGCATTGAGCATTTAATTACAAACTATATTTGTTTGGAGCAGCACGTATTATACAAATCTTTTGTAATCAATATTTTTAGATTTTTTTGTATGGTTTTCGTTTATCTCGCTATTTGTTTTTGTCCTCTTTTAGTGTCTGATTTCCCTTATTAGTCAGCCTGTCAGCTTTTTATACGCTACTACTGCAAACCTTTTAAAGTTTTTTTGAGATTCGTTCGTATACAGTCTTGTTAAGTAAGTATTAAACAGTGAATACAACAAGTGCTAACATTATATAGTACAAAACAAATGTGTATGGTCTATTCTTGTGGATTATCCAGTTCCAACATAATATTCTACATTGATTTTTGGACACTCAGCATTGAATCAATTACCATGAGCATCACTAAGGAGACATTGATTGTCAAAATGCGTATCTATAAAAATGTAATGTGGTACCTTTAAATGTTATTGCATTGCAAAATCCTCGAAATATAAGAGCTGAATCCGTTGTTTACTCCAACCTTTTACTAAGGTGAACTAAAATATTGTTGACATTGCACGTCCAAATTAAAATTATTAAGTAAGGGAAGCAGTTTCAACTATAAAGCATACTTATATTAAGCCTGTTTCGCGTCAGGAACCGCGTCAGTGATTTTGTAATGTCATAACTTCATACTTTGGAGGAATAAGACAGACACATTTTGTCGAATTTTTAACGTTCTAATTTCAAAGGTAACAGGCCGCAGGAATACATGTTACCGTACTTGGACAATGTTTCAGACCCACGGCCAACCAGTCATTGTTCTATCTCTCTTATCGATCTTGTCAGAAAAGCAGCAACTACCAAGTCTTTCGGTTGACCCGGACATGGATCGAAACTACTTACCTGCACTCGAGGCAGGTGACGATTGAAGATAAATTTATATGATTACATGGACACGGACCGTAAGCAAATATTTCAAATTGTCCAAGGTAAATTTTTGTAGCCGACTATACGGAATGGGTTTTCTCATTATTGAAGGCTATACGGTTACTTATAATTGCTTACATCCACTTCATTTGAACTTAGGTAGATAGTTGTTTCATTTTTCATTGGCAATCATACCACGTCTCCTTACTTTTATATTCACCTTATTTTGTTTGAGGTTCAGTTAAAAAAATCTATCATCAATGTAGATAGCGAGATGTTTATATATTAAGCAAAAATGGTAAATGTCGGAACAAAGGGAAATCTTGCATACAGTTCTTCCCGGGAATTATTAGTATAGCAGTGGCAGCAAACCAATATGTGATATTCATATGAGCTAAATACAATAGTATCCTTAAAGATTTAATTCCAATTTAGAATTGTGTTTGAACCAAGCTGAAAATAATTGTCCCCGTCAGACATACTTGCCATTTGATGAATTATCCGTATGCATTTTGAACAATATGTTTAATAATAAACTCATCATATATACAAGAATTATAATTTTGTAAGCTAGACGCGCGTTTCGTCTGTAAATAAAGGCAACAGTAGTATACCGCTGTTCAATAGTCATAAATCGATTAAGCGAAAACAATTCCGGGTCTCAATCCAAAACCGAGGGAAACACATCAACTATAAGAGGAAAACAACGGAACAACAGAAACACTGAACTGCAACAAAAAACAAACGCCAACATACATAGAAACGGACTATTTGATAACAACTGCCATATTCCTGACTTGGTAAGGACATTTTAAGAAAAAATAGTGGGTTGAACCTGGTTTTATGGATAGCTGAACCTCCCGCTTAAATGACAATGTTGAAAATACCGCTAAAATGACAACATTACGTGACAGGAATACAGTACAAATAAACGCAAGAACACTCAGGACAGAGAAACACATAGATAAATAATATAATAGTACATTACAGCATGTAAACCACAGAATAACAACGGACACCTTCCATGAATCCACGACAGCACACAAGAACACCACAAACGAATTATAAACTGTGCGTCACACGAATGTATCAACGCCACAAACAGTGACGTAAAGTGTAAGGACTCATTAATGACTCTAGAATAAAAAAAGTAAAAAAAAAGCCAAATAAAGTACGGAGTTGAAGAGTATTGAAGGCCTAAAACTCCGAAAGATTTTAACAAATACAGCTAAGGAAATCTATTCCTGGGGTAGTAAAATCCTTGCGATGGTATTGTCTTTTTTCCTCGACTTGTGTTTTTGTTTATTGTTCCCTTTGTAACGTCAGCCTCTTTGTGTGTATAAACTTGATTTTTAAAGTAAATCTATTTTCATTTTGACGCGTCAAAAGGCAAGTTGCATTTGAATCGGTTATTCTACATTTTGAGGAAGCTGTTATTTTCTTACGAGAAATAAATGAATCATATGATTTCGTCTATAAACAACTTTTCCAAGCTTATGACATGAATTGATAATTTGTAGTATTCATCAATGGTCCAGTTAAAGACGACATAACCAATATACATTTTGAGGCCATCATACAATTCTTTTTTTATAACAAGAAACAGGTGTCTTTTCAACATTCAATCCCTAAATCGCCCACAGACTCAAACACTTGAGAATTACTTAAACAAAACCCCCCTAAATAGCTGATATTTGCACAACATATTCCTTAAAACAATTATTGATTGGTTGCTCTGTTTTAGGTTCACGTCTAGTGGCAAACAGTCCATGCATAATGAAGACGAAAAAAAATTAAAACTAGAAATTGAGTGGATCGAGTAATTAAAGATTAATTTGTATTGCCACCAGAAAATGAGGACATGTTGAATAGGGATACATATTTTGTCATGCAACAGGCCACATGACTTTCATGTGCAGAGTGTGTGGCCTAAAAACATCAAAATTATCTCCTAAAAAAATTCCATGAAAAACCATTGAGATATGATATAAAACAACCGATTAAAATGTAACATGAGACAAACATCGGATATTTGAAAAAGATAATTTATGCCAAGGTTCCTGACTTGAGGCAAGGACATGAAAAAGGTACATTTAGGGGTTAATTTATTTTTTAGAAATCACATTCGTATTCATTTTAATTTCCATCAGTGGACTATCAACATGTACATCAAACATGCAATAAAATAGAGGCTCTAAAGAATCTGTGTTGCTCATCTTGATCAATGTGCATCTTCAACAATGGTAACTCTCCAACAGTATATACTAGAGTATAATTCATGTTTAAATCTTGTGTTGCAGACAATTATATTTTATAAAGTCTCTCTGTCAACTATTATTGTTTTTATTTAAATCACAAAAATGGGTAAAACTTGACATTAAAATATTAAACTCGTATAAGGAGTCGACCGACTATTTCGACACAAGTATTTTGAATTAAATATGTGAAGGTCTTGTCTTTTTTTATCTGCAATAGTGCTCGCCCATAATGCAAAAATTGGTAAACAATTTTAGATTCTGTCTTGCTAATGAAGTTCTATTTCTCAAACGCATGTACATGCATGGTCACAATTAATCCATAGAACAATCAACTGTAAAACTAATATATCAACCAAATACGGACTACACAAAACCCAATAACTGGTTAAGGAGAGATAACTCTCTTGAACATATGCTTACTTAACCAAACGTCTTGACCATACCAACATTTTTTTCTCTTTCCTTATCGATCTAAGAGATTTGAACATCGGTTAACTATTGTCCTCTTACTTCATACATCAACGGGAATATACAATCTTGTGCATTGATGTTAAAATTTATGATAAGGTCAGTTTAAGATGAACCACTATTATATGTTTGCCAACCGTTTATTGAATATAAGGGGGCATTAAAAAAGGGAACTTTACGTTATTTGAAAAAAAAAAGAAAAACTAAATAAAAATCGATCGTTCTAAGATTTATTAGCAAATAATTTATCCCTATTCTATAGATTAAGTGCAACTTCAGCATTTTTTTTTTCTGAAATATATGCACGTAAATGAGGAAGGTGCTAGAATTTTTGGTAAAGTCATAAATCTTAGGGTGAAGTTTATTTCATTGAATACTGCATAGTCAAATTCTTATAAAAAGAGTCATATGCTGTAAAACGATGTAACAATAACAGATCTTGGATTCTTGCATCAACATCATTATGTTTGATCTGGCGCTAATATTTTTGCGATATCACCTTTCATTCATACATTATCCTTATTTGACCGCACGGAAAACTGAATATTAATTATTTCTGATTCTTACTAAAACATTTGATATAGCAATTTATGGTATCCTTCGCCTCTCTTTTATCCTAAATAAATATGTATTTGATTCGAACGTCACTGATGAATCTTGAGTAGATGAAGCACGAGTCTGGCGTACAAAGTTATAAGCCTTTGAGATGAGCTTTTAATATTTCAAAGGTCGTTAATTGTATCGTTGTTTGTTGCTGTCTCTACATGCTTATCTTTTCGTCCATTAAAGTAATTTTTTTGGAGTCAACATTTATAGCATGTCATATGGTTTTGGTTGCTTGCCCATTGTCATAAAAAATTAGATATGAATGTTTGCCTGCGGTATATGAATAAAAGATAATGTGAGGTTTACTTATAAAAAGGAAGACGGGGTATGATTGTTAATGAGACAACTCTCCACCAGATACCAAATAACGAAAATGTAAATAACTTCTTTGTTCTTTGAACATTTTCGTTTACACGTATATCTGTTTGTTTTTGTTTTTTAGTTTTTTTGTTTTTTTTTTCAGATAATACTATTTTTATCTTTATTCAACAACATATTGCACTACTGCTGTTAACAATTTACTTCACTACTCCAGCATTCTAGTGAAAGGTCCCTGTATTTTTTACCAGAAATCCAGACTTACTCTCTGGTAAGCATCATTATATTACATCTA